TTTGTCCTTTTCTTTATCCTTTGGGTAAAGCAAGTTTTTGTTGGGGCCTTTCTACATTCTTTGGTGTTTCTGAGCTCCTGCTTCCTTAGCTCCAAGTCCAGATATATGAGGCAAAAGGAAAAACCAGGGAACTCACTGCCATGTTGTTGCTCAGGTCTCAAGGTCCCTGGACAGTCTGCTTTCCTTTCTCCACTTTTCTGAATCTTCTTGTTGTTGTTTTTATAATGTCCAGGGTGTTTGTCATAATTTGCAAGAAAAATTAGGGGGAAATGCCTCTACTCCATCTTCCTAGAAGCAGAAGTCCTGTTTGGTTTTTAAAGATCCCAAAAATTCATGGTTTATACTATTAATTCCCTGGCTGAAATGATAGATAATAGATAGATGGATAGATAGATAGATAGAGTTCTTAATATAATGAATTCTCTATTAAGGTAGAAGTTTGACTTAGCTCTTTTTATTGAGAATGCTATGCAAAAATACATCTGTGTCCTCTGATGAAAATATTCTCAGGGGAAGTCTTTAAGCTGGGCATGGTGGCTCACACCTGTAATTCCAGCTCTTTGGAAGGCTGAGGTGGAAGGGTCCCTTGAGCCTAGGAATGTGAGACCAATCTGGGAAACAGTGAGACCCAGTCTCTACAAAAAATAAAAATTAGAAACAAAAAGCCTTTTTTTCCCCCTCTTTTTCAGAAGATATTTAACTCCAGATCCTAGACCAAAGTAGTTACATGGCTAACACACAATATCCAATGAATGAATCAACAAATGGACAGAAACACAACTGAATAAAATAGTAGATATATATAGTGCTGGTGTTTACAGAACTAATTTGACCAGAAATTTTAAAGCACTAATATCTTGTTGCTGTATGTTTAGGAAACACTTGTTGGGATATGCTATGAGGGTAGCTAAAGGAAATAGCCTCTTTATATACAGTGTGAATGAAGTTTTAATTAGAGGAACTCTTTCAGACAGCAATTTAGCAATATTGACCAAGATTTAAAATTGCTCAAACCTCAGTAATTCAATTTCCTCAAGAAATAATAGTAAAAATAGAAAAGGTTTTGTGCATGAGCACACCTTTGATAAAACAAACATACAATTGTAAAAATACCATAATTACAACTATGTATGAAACAAACAAATAGAAACAGAAAAAAAAAACATCAAAAGGAGATAGATCATAATACGGTGGCTATATCGGACAGTTAGTGTTATTTTTATAATAAAACGCCAGCATTTTATTCCTGTAGCACCAAGAGTGACAGAGTGAATTACAGTTGTGTAGTCAAACACAGATGGGAAAAGATGTCACATTTATACATTTTAAAGAGCATTACTGTAAAAATCAATTATATTTGACATACAAACTCCCCTCCCTTGGGTACCCCTGCTAAATGTTCATCCTCACACAATATCCTGTAGACTTTCCCAGCTCCTTTCCCATCTGCAATTCATCTGGTGCCACCAAATCCTGAGCACAGACCAGAACATGGCTGACCTTCCCATTTGCTTCCCATCTCATCGCTCGTGCACCTTCTTGACATATTTCCATTCCCTCTTCCTGGCTGTAGGCCTTGGGTGGGTGACTTAATTTTCATAGGCAGACCTTCCTGCTTGCTTAGGAAGCAGCCCCCTGAGTGCTCTGTCAGTCTCCTGTCAGCAAAGCAGGCACTGCTGGTTTGTAAGGAATGCCTGGGGTGAGGAGAAGCAACCCCAGTGCAGATGCTTTGGGTTAAAACATTGAGAGATGTAGATGGGTTCCAATGGCCGTTGCACCACTGAATAATTTTTGTTTTCCTAAAATGGCTTTAGTCTGGATTATGTCTGAAAATTACTGTCTGTTCCTGGGAGGTAAGTTTGCATGATTCCCAGCAGTCAGGGGGCAAAACTGGATGATGATGTGCTGACAGAAAGAACAGGGAACACAGCTTCCCCTCTTGTTGATGGTGGGGGTACAGGCGAGGATATGGTGCCCACAGCCTCTGGACTGCCCTGCAGAAGGCCCAAGCCTTCCAATACAGTATAATAATGGTCTCAGCAGAGCCATGGCGCCAAAACACAGGACTGTGGGGAGAAAGGAGATTTCTCTGAAAGAAGTTGCCAGTCATCCTACGGCATGCCATGCAGCAGCTCCTCACCCGCTTCTTCTGGTAACTGTACGCAGATTTCCTTCTCTGAAATGCCTCCTCCCACTGTCAATCATTTTATTACAAGTAGAGCTCCAGCCCCTCACCCAGGATGCAGCACATAACCAAGGCCAGAGCCAACTGGCTCATGTGGCATGGCCCTGGCCTCAGTGATTAGTCCAGGGATGGACTGAGAATGATGATGCTGGCTGACGCTGGAAAAGTGCTTCCTCTATCCTGGCTTCCTGGTTAGGATTTTATATATGTTGACTCATTAACCCTCACAGTGGCCAGATGAGGTGATACCTTATTTTCCCTGTTGTCAGATGAGGAAACTGAGGCATAGAGGCAGTAAGTATTATGCCCAAGTGACACAGCTAATAAGAGTCAAAACCAGGACTGATACCAAGGTGATCTGACGCCAGAGTTCATTCTCTTAGCACTATGCCATAGAGCCTTCTAGGTCAGCCGTGGCATAGGTGTGTGGCACAGGTGTGCTGTGGTGGGCTTTTTTCTTAAGCTGAAGGCGATGTTCTGGAGCAGGCGCCACCATCTTGCCCCTACGTGGAGCCCAAGAATGCAGGTCTGAGGATGGAGAGAAGAGCAGAGCCTGGTAGCGGGTGAGCTCTAGACTTGCTCTGGTCTGAAGTTGGTTCATAATTTCGCTAAAGAATTCTCACGTTCCCACCTCCTGGACCCGTTTGTTTCTCATTCCAAGTTGAGTTGGTTTTGGTTACTCTCCTCCCCACATCACATTTTGTCTTCTCTTCCTAATAACGCCTATTGATTGGATATTTAAATGCCCATGATAGGTCCTCTTATTTTCTCATCCATTCTCTCTTATCACTCATCTGTTTGTCTTATTGTTCTGCTTTCTGAGAGAGTCCCCTGAGCTTATGTTTTAACCCTTTTAAGAAAAAGCATGGGGGAGGGGTATTATCATTTTTATTTCTAGATTCTTTTTTCCAGTTGTTCGTTTTTTTATTGGCATCTGAATGTTGTTTCATGGATGTTATGAAGTCTCACTTCTGTGAGGATACTGATTGTAATTTTTTAAAGTTATCTTCTAGTCTCTACATTATCTCAGTTTTCTTGATGTCTCCTTTCTGTTTGTTTTGATTTGTTTTACGTTAAAGCTTTCCTTCAGCTGTCTTATGATCCTAAAGAATCCATTCAGATTTAAGGGTAAGACACTAAAAAGCTGATTTGATGCTATCTGGGCATGGAAGGGCTCGGTTTGGTGGCTTCTCTGCTGGGAGAGGAGGAGGCCAGGCAGATTTTTCATAGAAACTCCTAAATGTGCCGACTTGAAGGTCCTTTCCCTGGGAGTAATTCAGTTTCCCCAGAAAAATAATCTTTAACCTCATTCCCAGAGCATGGGAGCCTGGCTGCTGACCTTTGGAGCTGTGATCACATGCAGTTCATTGCTGTTCTGTTTTTAGTGTGGTCTCTCATCCCCCAAGCAGGAGAGGGTGGCTCAATTTCTTGAGAGTATTCTGAAGAGACAGTCACCTGTCAGACCAGGTGAGTCACAAACTCCTTTGATCTGGTTCCTACGTCAATACTTTTGTGTTGTTCGTTGAACTTGACGTGACCCTTAGTTTATCCTTGAGAGCAGTCACTCATTAATTCCTCCATTCATTCACGCAGCATTTATATGGAGGAATATAAGAAGCCGAGAAGACCCTTTGATCCTTGCCCCTAAAGAGTCAACAATTTCTTCACAGCCCCTCCAGCCCCCAGTTTTCAGTGAGGAAGGAGCCCAGTCTCTTCAGTCATATTGGGAAACAGATGATTGTTTATTTAGCACCTACTCTGTGCCAGGCACTGCACTACTTTCTCTACTTTCTCTCATTTTGCTACTCCTGTTAACCCTCTGCAGGTAACTTTTATTAAAGTTATATCTTAGATGAGAAACTGAAGTCTAGAAAATTCAGTGCTAAGAAACGGGCCTAGGATTTCAACTCAGCCCTGCCTAAGTCCAAAGCTTATGCTCTTTCCTCTGCTGGAAATATTTACCTCCATGTTAGAGATAAGGAAACTGGGGTGCAGAGATGTTCCTTATACATTCCGAAGAACTCTTGAGGCAGGCTGTGAGAAGCCAAGGCCTCACATGTGGGAGTTACAGAGCGTGTGCAGGGAAGGGTCCATCATGCTGTGTCCCTAATGTCCCAGGAACCTCTCCCATCAGGAGAATTTTCTATAAGGAAAGGCAGGCAAGCAGGACCACAAAGGCCAGCATGGAATAGTTACTAATAGCAGCCATCCATGGAGAAGGAATGTGTTCCAGCCTTGTCTGTTTGATGGGATGATTCCACTGTCTGAGGATCTGCTTTTCCCCATCTCCCAACTGCCAAAGACTGTGAGCCCATTCACTAGATCCATCCAGAGGGGCAGTTCTAGATGAAGAGTCAGTGCAAGGTCCAAGGGTCTCAGAGAGTGGGGAAGGACACAATGATAATTTCCTTTTCAAAAGGCAGAACAAAATATGTCTTCTCAAAATGCCAGGGGAGACGGTTTTTTGCTTGGGCCTGGTATGTTTTCAATAATGCTATCAAATTACATTTTTTGGCAAAGTACAAATAGTCACCAGACCAGGGGAAAATACTATGCATTCTCCTAGAGAATGGTGTCATAATCTAAATTTGACCAGAGAATGAAGATCCAGAAGTTATTTCATTCAGAAGAAAAAGTGCCTCAAAGGGGAAAGTAACTTTGAATTCTGAAAATTTACCCCAGCAAAAGGAGCAGGGTATAGCCGAGGATAGTCAAAGGGCTATGATAAGGGCAGGCACATGTGAATATTTCTATTAAACACACCCTTCATGTGGCAGGAGAAGAAACTGATGGGAACAAAATCAACTGCTCGAGGTTTTGTCTCATCAGGTTTATTGGTGATATATCCGGAATTCATCATATAAATCTTTCAAAATAATGAGATATTACAAGAATAGTTTACAAGTCAGCTCTGACTGCACAAATACTTGACACAGGAAACCATTTTTACAAATACAAATATGTTTTATAATACTTTAATAAAGAAAATAAGTCTGTCTATATCTTACAGCAAATTTTATGTAGTCTTTTTCCCATTCAGTCATCGCTTCAGGTTTTCTATTACAGCATGTCTGTCACATCCAATAAACCAAACTACCATCTGCTGTTTCTTCTCATTTTCAAATACTATTAAGATTCACACTGTTAAAGGGGTTTTTGGGTTCCTTTTGTAATCTTTCCTGATTTGAAAAGAATCCATGTAACTAGGCTAAAAGAGGTAACTTCAACAATATTCCACCTGACTAGAACTTCTATCTGGTTAATCATTGTTTGGTGAATTGTTTTCACTTCCTACTTAGGCTAGGTTAGGTGGTAGTTTTACCCCTGCTGATAAAGTCCTGACATTTCTAATAGTTCCTAAATTGCAAATAAGAAACCCTAGAAACAAGAGTGAAATAGAAATATTAAGAAAGCTAAAACACTATTGATTAGAGAAAACACTTAAATTCAAGGTCTCTTCCAGGTTGAAGAAGACAGAAAAGCAATAAAGTATAAGGATGAGGCCATAGTTTTATAAAATCCTGAAAATCTGAAAAAGAGTAATCACTTAAGCCAGTAGTGTATTTTTCCCAAATGCTAGAGGATACAGAATCTTAGCATCTGCGACTAGGCTGAACTCAGTATTTGACATTCTTCTTATGCTGCGGCTTTGAAATAGCCTAATAAATATCCACTTGCCCAGAGCAAGTAATCATTTAGGCCAGAGAACTTTACAGAATACTGACCGTGTTTACCTGAAGAAATAGGAACCACCAGGGCAAACATTTGGCATTCACTCCACTCCTTCACTGTTACTGAAATGTCCACTTAGCCTGTTGTTTTGCTTTTCAGGTAACATGAATTAAAATTAAGCAACTAGTAGTATTCTACTACAGTCAAGTTCCTGAGTACTCAGTTCCAATTATCCAATATTCTTGAGAGGATGCTGATATGGTTTGGCTGTGTTCCCCACCCAAATCTCAACCTGAATTGTATCTCCCAGAATTCCCATGTGTTGTGGGAGGGACTCAGGGAGAGGTAATTGAATCATGGGGGCTGGTCTTTCCCATGCTATTCTCATAACACTGAATAAGTCTCATGAGATCTGATGGGTTTATCAGGGGTTTCTGCTTTTGCTTCTTCCTCATTTTTTCTTGCCGCCATGTAAGAAGTGACTTTCACCTCCTGCCATGATTCTGAGGCCTCCCTGGCCATGTGGAACTGTAAGTCCAATTAAACCTCTTTTTCTTCTTTTCTTTTTTTTTTTTTTTGAGACGGAGTTTCGCTCTTGTTACCCAGGCTGGAGTGCAATGGCGCAATCTCGGCTCACCACAACCTCTGCCTCCTGGGTTCAGGCAATTCTCCTGCCTCAGCCTCCTGAGTAGATGTTAAACCTCTTTTTCTTCCCAGTCTTGGGTATGTCTTTATCAGCAGCATGAAAATGGACTAATACAGTAAACTGGTACCAATAGAATGGGGCATTGCTGGAAAGATACCCAAAACGTGGAAGTGACTTTGGGATTGGGTAACAGGCAGAGGTTGGAACAGTCTGGAGGGCTCAGAAGAAAACAGGAAAATGTGGGAAAGTTTGGAATTTCCTACAGACTTGTTGAAGGGCTTTACCCAAAATGCTGATAGCAATATGGACAATAAAGTCCAGGCCAAGGTGGTCTCAGATGAAGATGAGGAACTTGTTGGGAAGTGGAGTAAAGGTGATTCTTACGTTTTAGCAGAGACCAGAAGCATTTTGCCCCTTCCACAGAGATCTGTGGAACTCTGAACTTGAGAGAGATGATTTAGGATATCTGGCAGAAGTAATCTCTAAGCAGCAAATCATTCAATAGGTGACTTGGGTGCTGTTAAAGGCATTCAGTTGTTTTTGTTTTTGTTTTTTGAGACAGAGTTTCACTCTTGTAACCCAGGCTGGAGTGCAATGGCGCGATCTCGGCTCATAAGAACCTCCGCCTCCCGGGTTCAGGCAATTCTCCTGCCCCAGCCTCCTGCGTAGCTGGGATTACAGGCACGCGCCACCATGCCCAGCTAATTTTTTGTATTTTTAGTAGAGACGGGGTTTCACCATGTTGACCAGGATGGTCTCGATCTCTTGACCTCGTGATTCACCCGCCTCGGCCTCCCAAAGTGCTGGGGTTACACGCTTGAGCCACAGTGCCCAGACCCAGGCATTCAGTTTTATAAGGGAAGCAGAGCATAAAAGTTTGGAAATTTGCAACCTGACTCTGCAATAGAAAAGAGAAACCCATTTTCTGTGGAGAAATTCAAGGTGGCTGCAGAAATCTGTGTAAGTAGCAAGGAGTCTAATGTTAATCCCCAAGACCATGGGGAAAATATCTCCAGTCCATGTCACAGACCTTTAGGGCAGCCCCTCCCATCACAGGTCCAGAGGCCTAGGAGCAAAAAGTGGTTTCATGGTCTGGGACCAGGGTCCCCAGGCTGTGTGCAGCCTAAGGACTTGGTGCCCTGTGTCCCAGCCACTCCAGCCATGGCTGAAAGGGGCCAACATACAGCTTGGGCTGTGGCTTCAGAGAGTAGAAGCCCTAAGCCTTGGCAGCTTCCACGTGGTGTTAAGCCCGTGGGTGCACAGAAGTCAAGAACTGAGATTTAGAAACCTCTGACTAGATTTCAGAAGATATATGACAACGCCTGGATGCCCAGGCAAAAGTTTGCTGCAGTGGCGGGTCCCTCATGGAGAGCCTCTGCTAGGGCAGTGCAGAAGGGAAATGTGGTATTGGAGCCCCCACATAGAATTCCTACTGGGGCACTGCCTAGTGGAGCTATGAGAAGAGGGTCACCATCCTCCAGACCCCAGAATGGTATATCCACCAACAGCTTGCACCGTGTATCTGGAAAAGCTGCAGACACTCAACACCAGCCATGAAAGCAGCCAGGAGGGAGGCTGTACCCTGCAAAACCACAGGGGTAGAGCTGCCCAAGACCATGGAAACCCACCTCTTGCATCATCAGCATGACCTGGATGTGAGACCTGGAGTCAAAGATTATTTTGGAACTTTAAAATTTGACTGCTCTACTGGATTTTGGACTTGCATGGGCCCTGTAACCCCTTTATTTTGGCCAATTTCTCTCATTTGGAATAGGTGTCTTTACTCAATATCTGTACCCTACTGTATCTAGGAAGTAACTAGCTTGCTTTTGATTTTACAGGCTCATAGGCAGAAGGGACTTGCCTTGTCTCAGATGAGACTTTGGACTGTGGACTTTTGGATTAATGCTGAAAAGAGTTAAGACTTTGGGGGACTGTTAGGAAGGCATGATTGGTTTTGAAATTTGAGGACCTGAGATTTGGAGGGGCCAGGGGCACAATGATATGGTTTGGCTGTGTCCCCACCCAAATCTCAACTTGAATTGTATCTCCCAAAATTTCCATGTGTTGTGGGAGGGACCCAGATTGAGGTAACTGAATTATGGGGGCAGGTCTCTCCTATGCTATTCTCGTGATAGTGAATAAGTTTCATGAGATCTGATGGGTTTATCAGGGGTTTCTGCTTTTGCTTCTTCCTCATTTTCTCTTGCTGCCACCATGTAAGAAATGCCTTCTGCCTCCCACCATGATTCTGAAGTCTCCCCAGCCATGTGGAATTGTAAGTCCAAGTAAACCTCTTTTTCTTCCCAGTCTTGGGTATGTCTTTATCAGCAGCATGAAAACACACTAATACAGATGCTTTAAGCAAGCCCTTGTCCAATAAGGTATTTAATAGCACTTAGGGACTATCAGATGTCCCATTTCTCTTCTCTTTCATTTCTCTTGATCTCTTCTTGCCCCAGTGTAAAAAACTGCTACAGGTTTTTAGCAAAATGCTGCAGCGGTAGTTGGAAATGAGTTATTTTGCATTACTAAAGTGTTCAATCACATTATCACAGGTCACATTTGCATATAACCAGGAGATGGCCAAATAACCTCTATTGCAGTGATTTTGCAAATTCAGCATAGTCAATGTATCCATCATTGTTCTTGTCATCATCTCTCAAAACACCATCTATTATGTTAATCAGTTCATCTTCACTCATTAGTGGTGCCTGTTCACTCCCTTCCTACAAAATACAAATTAGACAATGATGAGTTGCACATTTTACTGGAAGAAGTGCTTAGCTAATGTGCAAAATATCCATGCTCTTTCATGGGCAATGTTTATTAAAAACAAAACAAAACAAAACCAACAAAATGTCCATGCTTATATGTGTCTAAAAACTTTCAATGGAGTATGGGGCTACTTCTAGGAATCTATCTATATATTCTCTCTACATATATACAGAAAATATACATTTTATCTCTATAGTCTATATATATTCTCTCTATATATATTCTACTCTGTATATATTCTATAGAGAGACAGAATATATATTAGATATTGAGTCAATTTATAATAATCCAATTTAGAAATTACATTTGCCACTTAAAAGAAGGGCCTTCAAAATAGGCTCTTGCTTATTTGTTTCATTACAGCTCTTTTCTAATTGGAAAAGTGCCAGTCCTGAGGGTCAGCTCTGTGTACAAATTTGCCTGATAAAATGGAAACAGTGACGAATTAGACAACAAGTTGGCATCAAAACAAGAGGAAGAAGGCACTGCCAATCAGCAGAACTGGTTATGATCTTTGAGAAGAAAGTATTTTCCATGCTCCAGGAGCCAGGAAATAAGCTGAGGCCACTCAGATCCTTGGCTGGTTCTTCCTTTGCCACATCTTCCACTTTCACCCTTCCTTCTCCTATCACCACCACCATCCTCATCTGCCAGGACTGCTGAGCCCCAATTCTTCCACCTAATACTAGTCTCTCCTCATGTCCTTCGGTCTGTCTCCCACAGCCAAGGATCTTCCCTAAACAATGCCATTATCCTGTGCAAAACCATTCATGCTCCCTGCTGCCTTCAAACCTCACCTGCACTCCTAGCAGCCAATGTAATCCCACTCACCTGGCTAACTTTGCCTTGCTTCCTCTCTACAGAGGGCAGTGTGGCAGAGGGGGAATGACATTAAATGTGGAGGCACAAGGATTTTTTTTTTTTTTTTGGAGATAGGGTCTGACTCTGTCACCCAGGCTAGAGTCCAATAGCATGATCCCAGCTGGCTGCAGCCTTAACCTCCCAGGCTAGGGTGTTCCTCCCCCCTACCCCCCCATCCCCCACCACCCCAGTAGCTGGGACTACAGGTGAGCACCACCAAGCCCAGCTAATTTTTGTAGAGAGGGGATTTTGCCATGCTGCCCAGGTTGGTCTTGAACACCTTGGGCTCCAGCAATCCTCCTGCCTCAACCTCTCAAAGTTCTGGGATTACAGGCATGAGCCACCATGCCCAGCCTGGCACAAGATCTTGATTTCAGTTTCTTCACCTAAAAAATGGGAGGGTTTTTTTTTTTTTTTTTTTCTGAGACAGGGTGTTGCTCTGTCTCAGAGTTCAGGTGTGGCTGGAGTTCAGTGACAAGATAACAGCTCACCACAGCCTCGACCTCTCAGGCTCAAGTGATGCTCCTACTTCAGCCCCATGAGTAGCTAGCTGGGGCTACAGGCACATGCCACTGAAAATCAAAGTATTAACAATGCCTGTCACTGACTACTCAAGATGTTGCAAAGATCCAACGAGATCTCTAATCTACTTAAAAGTACTTCAGAAACTTTGGAGCACTGTACAGTAAAACAAAAGCCCTCAACTATTGCCATGTCCCTGAATCTCTTGGTCTCAATTCACCATTCTTCCCAAATGAAATAACTTCTCCCTTGCTCTGAAGTTTGAATGTGGTCTTTTAGGCTCTGGCTCTCATACTCTGGTGTGTAACAGAAGTGCCTGTAGCACTTAAAGATACAAATGCCCAGCCCTGGGACTTTAGCAAGTTATCCTTTGTGGAGAGGATCATTGAACAGAAAGAGGCAAGAGGCAGAACAGAGAAGAGAAAGAAGAAGCAGCACCTTTTTTTCTTTTTTGAGACAAGGCCTCACTCTGTTCCTCAGGCTGAAGTGCAGTGGCATGATTATGGCTTACTGTAGCCTCAATATCCTGGACTCAAACAATCCTTCCACCTTAGCCTCCTGAGTACCTGGAACTACAGGCATGCACTACCAGGCCTGGCTAATTTTTTGTAGAGACAGGGTCTCACTATATTGCCAAGGCTGGTCTTGAACTCCTAAATCAAGTCATCTTCCCACTTTGGCCTCCCAAAGTGCTGGGATTACAGATGTGAGCCACTATGCCCATGAAGAAATAGCACTCCTGACACATAAGGACAACAGAAATCAACAAGACTGGGAACCAAATTACCAAAGGGAGGCCCTTCTGTGATACAACCCCTCAAGCCACCACCAGACCTACCTCCTTATGGACATGAGTTATGGCTGTGGAGAGTTCTAAGCCATCAAGCAAATTATTGCCATCATAATCATGCATTTTGAAGTAATGGAGCTGCAGTTCTTGTGGCGACATCTCTGCCTCTGGTTTGTTGATGACACCTTCTAGATGTTCCATGATATGTCTAAAAATCAACAATCAGATTCAGGCCAACTGGCAGAGACACTGGGATCATGCTAAAATCTTAAGCACTCTGAAAAGTTCAAAATCGTAATCTTTCTCCAGCTCGGAAAAACAAATACAAGCAGTGGCAGACCACACTCAAAGATTACATAGAGACAGACAGGGCCTTGAAGGGAGCAGGAAAAGTCAAATGGGTCACCTGTTTTGCTGGCAGGATTAGGGTGTTCTTTCCTCTTTATTATTAGAATTTTGTTATAATATTTTCAGGTCGCCAATTTAAAAATTGGTTTTTTAAAACAATTTTTTTTTGAGACAGAGTCTTACTCTGCCACCCAGGCTGGAGTGTAGTAGTGTGATCTCAGCTCACTGTAGCCTCAACTTTCCAAGCTCAGGTGATTCTCCCACTTCAGCCCCCTAAGTAGCTGGGACCACAGGCACGCACCACCACACCCAGCTAATTTTTTGTATTTTTAGTAGAGACAGGCTTTTACTACATTGCCTAGGCTGGTCTCAAATTCCTGGGCTCAAGCAATCCACCTGCCTCGGCCTCCCAAAGTGCTGGGATTACAGGTGTGAGCCACTGCGCCCAGCCTTATAACAAAGGATAACAAAGTGTAATGTGTGAGGCTAACTGGCCCAAGACCAAAGCTGCAACAAATGATTCAATGTTTGAATGTGTCAGGAAAAAAAAACAAGTCCTGTTAGAGTCAAGAAACCTTAGCTATTTTCTGGATTCTGCTACTATGACTGTGTATGTGTACCTGTGTGTCTATTTGTATGTGTGTGTGCCTGTCTGTGGGGAAAAAAAGAGAGACTGGATTCAGACAAGTAATCTGTCCCATTTAGGCCTAAAGATCTTCCACCTGTGATACAATGATGAAAAAAGAATACGACTTATAGGTGGCAATAAGGAATAAGAATCATCCTTGAAGAATGTCAAGGAGCCATATAATCAGGAAGAAGGAAAGGAGGACTGAGTGTGCCATTGCTGCTGGCTCAGCTGCAGATGATGGGGAAGCCCCTGGACCACAGCCCGGGCTGAATACGTACTCTTGGTCGTGCACTGTGTTCTTATCCAGGCCCATGCTGCCGGGTTGGGAGAAGCTGGCCGCAGGCTCCTCAGCCCTGGCGCCTGGGGCACAAAAGGCCCAGAGCAGGCTACACAGGAAGGGGGTTCTGAGCAGGGATCTCATGGTCACCAATATCTGTGAGATGGGAAACACAGAAGAGGAAGGCAGAGCATCAGAGCAAAGGTTTCGTTCAGGGCTTGACATGGTAGGATCCTGGGAAACCTGATGAAGCAGTGACGCTAGGAAGAGAGCTTGTCAAACGGGGCCCAACACCAGCTCTGCTATGAGATTTCAGGATGACCCTCGGCATTCCAAGTCAATCAAATGGCAGGGGAAAGTTCATGAGGTTTCCTAAGTGCCTGTAGAGTGCCAAGCAAAACTGTGAAAGCTTGAAGAGTCTGGAAGATTATTCCTGCCTCCCAGAAGCTATGGTCCACTGAAAGAAATACTTTCTACCAAGAGCACCAAGAAAGGCAGCCAGTGAGTTATACCAGAATATCAGAGAAAAAGAAAACCCTCTAGGAGTTCAGGGGAAGAAATCTCCTCTGGGTGAAGGAAAATCAGACAGAGCTGATTGAGCTGATGACACTTCAGCTGGGCCTGGACAGACGTGCAGGGACTGAAGGACTACAGGAATGGTGGGAGCAGAGCAGCAGGTGCCCACAAGCAGGAAAAGAAACTATAAGTATTTAAGCTGGGCTGCAGCCTAGCGGGCAGGAAGCAGATAGGACAGAGGTGGCTGCAAGGGCTGGACAGGCTGCACTGGGGGCTCTGCTCACTAGGCCTTTGACATCTCCTGCAGAGAAAGGGAGGAGAGTCTCTTACAATTCGTGAATGGGAGGTGAGATCAAAGCTTGGTTTCAGAACGAATCATCTGGCAGCACAGTGGGGAAGGCATGAAGTGGCAAGAGCAAGACTGGAGGCTGGAGGTGGTAGCTGAGGAAAGTGGTAAGGCAGGTCAGATCGAGGTCTGAGGCAGGGGACATGGAGAAGAGCACCTTAACTCCTCCTTGTCTACCTCCTAGGCAGTGACAGTGGCAAGTAACTTAACACGTTGAGCAAGAACTGGAAAGGAAAGTTACAGAGAAATCAGGATTCCATCAGGGACTCCCAGGGTTTGGCTGCACTAGGAATTGTGGTCAAGAAGATGACGTAGTCAGCTATAAAGCAAGCTCTCAAAGGGCAGGGAGAACTTTATTCCCACCAGTATTCCCCGCCAAGGGTCAGGCAGGCCTTTAATAACTATTGGTTCAACAGAAAGTCCTGGTCAGTCCTAGGGCTGACAGACTGACCTCAAAAAGGAAGGTGGAGGACAGCCAGGTGACCTACATACAAAAACAAAAGACCTGACCAAATATTCACTTCCCAAAAGGCAAAACAGATTCTGCCAGATAACAAGGCCAGCAATGTCTAACAGGCCAATTGTAACCCACAGCCCAAAACCAGCAGTGGTAAAGATAAACCATAAGGTACTGGTCATCGTCTTACACATGCTACACACAGAGCTCAGTTCAGAAGCTGCAGCTGTCTCTGTGCCTGGGGCTGGGAGGCAGGTGTCACAGCCTCTCTTACCCATCCTAAGAGGCTCTTAGGGCAGAACCCTGAGAGCGTGTCACCTACAATACTTAGGAAAATTTCCCAAATCCATTTTTCCCATTACCAGTATTGTTTCCAGTGGCCCCTTCCTTAAAAGGGACAATAGTCACTGGGATGTCTAACTTCCATGGTAGGCCAAGCATAGTGGCTCACACTTGTATTCCCAGCACTTTGGGAGGCTGATGCAGGAGGATCACTTGAGGCCAGGGGTTGAGGTCAGCCTGGACAACATAGCGAGACCCCATCTCTACAAAAAATTAAAAATCAGCTGAGTGTAGCACTGCATCCCTATAGTACCAGCCACTCAGGAGGCTGAAATAAGAGGATTGCTTGAGCCCAGGAGTTCAAGGCTGCAGTACACTCCAGGTGGGGTAAAAAAGTGAGATCCCATCCCCCACCACCAAAAAAAAAAAAAAGAAGAAACTTCCAGGGTGCTAAAAAGCAGCCAGCATCTACTACTAAACAGTGACATCAAAATGCAATCTGTCTCAGACCTTTTATATCCATAGTTAAAAAAAAAGCAATCTGTCATAGATAACAGGAAAGAATGCTCAATATATATTAAATGAAAAAGAACAGGCTATAAAAATCTATAAAGAATGATACACTTTTGTAAAATAAAAATGTATATTTCATACACAAATGAATAACTGACAAAGATTATCTTGAGACATGAGATTATAATATTTTTCTTTTTTTGAGATGGAGTCTTGCTCTATCACCAGGCTGGAGTGTAGTGGTGCAATCTCAGCTCACTGCAACCTCCGCCTCCCCAGTTCAAGCAATTCTCCTACCTCAGCCTCCCGAGTAGCTGGGACTACAGTGTGCACCACCATGCCCGGCTAATTTTTGTATTTTTAGAAGAGATGGGGTTTCACCATTTTGGCCAGGCTGGTCTTGAACTCCTGACCTCGTGACCTGCTCGCCTCACTCTCCCAAAGTGCAAGGATTACAGGCGTGAGCCACTGCGCCTGGCCTTCCTTTTTATTTTTCTACTGCTTCTAAAAATTCTATATTCTTTTTTTAATGAATATGTATTTAATCTATTCCATAATTCTGTCCCAATACTATATGGATGGGATTAAAAAAGAGTTTCTGGTTATCTCCAGAAAATAATTCAGAAATACCCAGAAACTACACTTCCAATTTTACCAAATAAAAGTGCCCAGACCCTGGCCAGGCACAGTGGTGCATGCCTATGATCCCAGCACTTTGGGAGGCCGAGGTGGGTGGATCACTTGAGGTCAGGAGTTCAAGACCAGCCTGACCAACATGGCAAAATCCCATCTCTACTAAAAATACAAATAAATTTGATTTGCCGGGTGTGGTGGCTCATGCCTGTAATCCCAGTTATTTGGGAGGCTGATGCATAAGAATCACTTGAACCCAGGAGACAGAGGTTGCAGTGAGCCAAGATCACACCACTGCACTCCAGTCTGGGCAACAGAGTGAGACTCTCTCAAAAAAAAAAAAAAAAAAAGTGTCCAGACCCTGACAAGGCCACTGCCACCGTACCTGGTGCCAGAAAACAAGGTTTGAGGTTACTCCTAGCAGTGACTGCCTAGGCCAGAGCAGAACAACTTGTTCTGACTACACATCTTAGAGTTCCGCGACAGAAGGGATCTCCCAAGCCTTTCAGACTCATTTACATCAGATGTCTCTTTCTCCAGTAAGGCCTTTTCAGTTCCAAGTTGGGGTAGGTATACCGCCCCCAAGTGCTTCCCTTCAGAAGGCTCCCATCCATAGTTAATGACAGCAGCAAATGAATTCTTTTTTTCTTTTGGTTGTGTGTGTGTGTGTGTGTGTGTGTGAATGAATTCTTGAAAAACTGCCTGATTACTTGTCAGTGCCCCTTGCTGGACTGGATTCAAGAGGGCTTGGACTAAATCCACATTCCCAACATCAGGCACAGTGCCTGGAACAGAAGCAGCTGGTTCTTAGCATATGTGCCATGGTCCTTAGGGAGCTGGGGAGATTACCACCCTTGCAGATATGCTGCCAATTTTTAATATCACTGTAACTGAAGATGAAAGTTTTCTTTTGGAGATATTTATCATGGAACCCATGGCACCATTTCCTCCAACTATGTGAGTGGATGCTTAGCATATCAATTCAGTGTGTGTGTGTTGCAGGCGGGGGGTATTCTATTTAGATAACACGAAAAAGCAACCAAGTGATTGATAATATAGTAACTATGAGTCCAAATGATCCCTTCTTTAAGGGAGGCAGGATAAAGGCCAAGAACCATAGATTTTGAACTTGTCTCATTTGGTTTGCTGTTGCAGGTTTCTAACCATTAGAATGCAACGAAAAACAAATCAGCAAACACACAGAAAAAAATCCCTCCAACTGGTGCACTGAAAACGGAATCTTGCTGGGCATGGTGGCTCATGCCTGTAATCTCAATACTTTGAGAGGCTGAAGCAAGTGGATCATTTGAGCCCAGGAGTTCAAGACCAGCCTGGACAACATGGCAAGACTCCCTTTCTAATTTTAAAAAAAAGAGAGCGAGAGAGAGACAGAGAGAGAGAGAGAAAGGAAGAAAGGAAGGAAGGCGGGGAGGGAGGGAGGAACGGAGGGAGGGAAAGATAGAAAACAGGGAATCTAACTGCCACCTAACAAATTAAATTGCTCACAGTCAAAAGAAAGCATAAGCAACTCCCTCTGCCCAAATAACAGGTTGCATCATCCATGCTTTAACCACTTAGCTCAAGGCCATGGGCAAACAGCCTGAAGATAAGCCCCAGCTCACTGTCCTTCTCTAGGAAATGATAAAGGCCAGGCTGAGAAAATCCCAAGGGAGGATAAATTTCTGCAAAGGGATTTCATTGCACAACCATACCTTGAGACAGTCCTCACAAGGCACAGCCTCAGTCCTGGGAGGGAAGTGCTGGACCATCAGCAGCAGCGGGTTTCCCAGTGCCTTGGCTGTCACAGTGCTCCCCTCCTGCTCTGCCAGTGTCTTCCTGTACCATAGCCTCTGCTCTGACTGATTCCATCTGTCCATCTCCACCTTCCTTCTAGGACGGGCTCAAACATCACCTCAGGATTTTCCAGCCAACATCAATTGCTCTCTCATCTGACCTCAGTCTACAGCCTCTCACACTCATTTGACCTGAACCTATGATCACAGGTTGTTCTCCTTTTCTATTTTTCTTTTTTCCTCTCTCTGAGAGTCAAGACCCTATCTCTTCTCTCATTTACCTTACTAATCTCTGCTGAGCTGACCTGGCTCATGGTTGAATAAGGGCAGTGAGTCTTGGCCCCTAGGTGTATGGTTCCCTATCCCGCAGTGGATCTAGCCTAAGCTGGAACTTCCTTTGGAGCCTTCTGGTGGTTTGACCTGGCCCAACCCTCCTGTTGTGTCAATACTCCTCTCAGCACTAAAGAGTTTGGAGCCAGCCTTCCTGCCAGCAGCTGGTAGCAGCTTCTCCCTCAGGTCAGGGGCCCTTAAGAATTCAAACCCAAAGCAGCCACACTCACCAACATCCAGACATCCTGTACCCACAGCCAATGCCAAAGAAAAACTCTGACCAGTACTTTCTCACTTACCCCTATCATGGTCCTGGACTGAAGGCAAGAAAATAACCAACTTCCTAGGCTAAAGAAACCTCTACACGGGCTCAGGGCTGAGAATTGGTTCTGGAAAAGCAGCCATTTAATGTTAATAACTTGATCTATTTGTTCATCTGGGAAGCCCAAGGAGCACCCATGCTTCATTTATACATTTAATTACCGTACCAACAGCACAAGGAACTGAAGATAGGACTGTGACCTCAACAAACTTCTCTCACACTAATTACAGCCTGGTAGAAAAGAGAGACCAGCAGGCAGACACCCATGGGGTACCATAAAAGCCCCAAGTCACACCTGAAATAATGCATGAAGGATAAGAAGGATTATTTCAACCAAAGGACAGTGCCTCAGACATAAGGAACATATTGAAGGAACATGTAAGTCCAGAAGGAACTTGTTCTCTGAACCCAGGAGGCGGAGGTTGCGGTGAGCCGAGATCGCGCCATTGCACTCCAGCCTGGGTAACAAGGGCGAACCTCCGTCTCAAAAAAAAAAAAGAACCAAAAAAGATTCGGTATAGTCGAAAACACAGTAGAGTCGAGTCAAATGAATCTAAAGTTAAAAGAAGACAGGTCATGAAGGGCTTTGCAAGCCCTGTTCAAGAGGTTGGAAGAGTAATGAGAATCCCCAGAAGGGCGGCAAGGGAATAGGAGGACGATTCTGGTGACGTGATCAGATTTCTGTTTGAAGACCATGGGTCTAGCCCCTCTGAATAGAACAAACTACAGAGGATCAAGAAGAGATGCAGGGGTCATCAGGAAGATACTGGGGTGGTCCAGAGGAGAAAAGGTGGCCTGAACTACGTAGGGCAGAGGCATGGGAGTGGAGAATGAACATATCCAAGACAGCTCTGCAAGAGATTAGATGTGGGTGGGTAAAGGAGTGCAGCAGGTGAGAATGACGCCCAGCTTTCTGGCTTGGGCACCTGGGTGGATGGCAGTGTCATGCCCAGAAAGGAAACACAACAGGAGATCAGCTTCCCCCGCCGGGCCCGACAGGACCTGTGGTCTCCCCCAGAGGAAGATGGGGGAACCAGGAGCAGACAAGAGTAACTCCTCCGGCCCGCTGCTTTTGGGCCGGGGCAGGAGCAGTATCCACCCGGCACAGCTGGTCTCACAGGCCGATCCAAGCCCCCAGGGACCAGAGAAGGGGGCGGAGATCTGCCCAGCCGGCCCAGTCTAGCTCCAGAGCTCGCGGTGGGACACAGGCTTCCGCCCCGGGAGACAGGCCGTGCTCCGAGCTGGCTAAGCGTCCCAGGACAGCCTGGAGACCCAGCCCCAGCCCCCAGACTGCTCCTGCCTCTCATCTTGAGCCCAAGCCCCCAACCCACAAGAGAGGAGCCGGGATTCCGCCCCCTGCGGACGGCGCGCTGGTTCACTCACCCTTATGGTTTCCGCCGCAGTCGCGAAGTCCTCCGGAGCGTGAGCCTCGCCAGCCCCCGTCCCCAGAACACTCTTTCTCGGCTTTGCCCCGCCCCACCCCCACTCCCATCCTGTCTGCTCTGCGCATGCGCACTCCGTGCCGCCCGCCCATTGGCGACGCTGGGCCCCTCCCGCTGTCCCGCGGCTGGCTGTGAGGACGGCTCGCGTAAGTCCACGTGTAATGGGCCGGCGCCCAGCATTGGCGGGACTGACGCGGTCTTTCTACCTGCTTTCTCGAAGACGACACTCGGTTCCACTCCAATTGGGCCGCTGGACGCTCTAGGGCCCCGGCAGGTTGCTAGGCAACTCCGGAAGCCCTCAGGAATGTAATTCCGCGTGGGACGTAGCATGGAGAATGGGGCGGACTCCAAATCCAGCTCCCGCTCTGCTCCATCTCTCCTATAGTGGGCTCTTGGTTCAGGTTTCTTGGTTCCTCCTGCTGCAAGTTGGGAAGAAAAATAATAGGAATGCTAATTCCTTTACTGACGAAACGACCAGAAGACGCTGGAGCCGGCCTTGGACCGTACGTTTCAAGATTGGCCTGCTTCCAGCTTCTGCCCGCTGCACTGCACAAGCCGCGGCAGCCGCTATACTGTTTCGCTTCCGCAGGAGTCCCAGCAAGACTATGCGACCCAATTCAAATACCATCTTCCCTGTACCGTTCGTGAAATCAGCAGCTTTTGTCATTCAAAAGAGGACAAATTACTTAAAAACAGACCCATGAACAAATAAGGAAACGAATACATCATCCCTGTATAAGCCTGCCCTTACACCTGTGCTCCTATACAAGATTAACATTCAGTGAGTGTCTCTTGACCTGATGGATAAATGAATGTAGGATGGTCGTCTTTTAAAGCCCTCCTCCCATTTTTATTTATAAAAGTACATAATCGGTTTTCAAAGGAGCCTGGGTCAGGACAGGAAATACAAAGTGGCTAAGTAGTTAGATGCCTTGAAAATTGGCCAACGCCACCGACATTGACTGTCTCATTCCTTTTCCCACCTTCATCTGAGATTGATATCTGTCAACCCTATCCCAGAGAAAAATCCCATAATCCCTAAATTCGGTTTTTCTTTTTAACTTTTTTTGTTTGTTTTAAAGAAATGAGTCTCAATGTTGCCCAGCTCGTCTCGAACTCTTGGCCTAAAGGAATCCTCCCACCACCTCCACCTCGCAAAGTGCTGGGATTACAGGCGTGAGCCACTGCGCCGGGTCAAAGAATCCCTGCGTTTTGAGGAAACCCTATTAATGCAAGACCTCTTCGTCTTTCTTTACTCTGAATTTTGGGTTAGGTTTATCTAGTTCCTTCTTCTGCCCTGCACCTGCCATTCATCCATCTCTTCTTCCATTCATCCATCCCCCATTTGTTCATTTATTCATTAATTCAATAACATTTCTTGAATATCTTTTATGTACTGGGCACTATACTAGGAGCTACTAGAGATACAAATAAGACAAATGAAGTGTTAAGAAACTAGTGTCTGGTAGATGGATGAAGTGTCCTCCTTCTAGCCAGTGCTTTCATTTTTTTTTTTCCTATGGATGTTATCCTTTGTTACGTCTCTCTTGAATCGACAATCGCTCCCTCTGTACCAGATAATTCCCATCAGCATATAAACTTGCTCTTGTTTCTCCCTCAGCATGCTACTGAAACTGCAATCTACATGCAAATCCAGTGGTCTCTCTAATCTCTTGTTTTATTTTACTTGCCCTCTCAACACTGTTTTATCAAAGCCAACCACTCTCACTTTGAAACAGTTTCTTCTCTTGTTTTCTGACACCATGCACTTTGGGTCCTCCTGCTACCTCACTGGTTATCCTTTCTTGGGCTTCTTAATTGGCTTCTCAACGTGTAAATATCAAAGTGTCCAGGGTTCTATCCTGAGTCACCTTCTCTATCTACCCACTCTCCCTGTGGGAATTTACCTAGTCCTATGCTTTAGGTACCAGTTATAAGTAGATAACTCCAAAATATGTCTCTCTGACAGTGACCTCTCTGTACTTCCTAACTCCTGTAAATCACTGCCTACTTGACGTCTTCATGTGAATGTCAAACTGGCATCACAAACTTAATGTGTCTCCCCAAAATCTTGATTTTTACCCCCAATCCTGTACCTCTCTCAGTCTTGTTCATTTTGGTAAATGTCACTGCTACTCATTCTGTTGTTGAGGCTAAAATTTTATGAGCTATTCTTGAGTTCTCTCATTCCTTTACCTTAAATCCTTCAGCAAAGCCTGTTGATACTATCAAAATATATCCTCAGTCTTTGATGACTTCTTTCCACCTCTACTACTTAACCATTCTAGTCCAGTAGCTGATGATGCTACTGGATTACTTGAGAGAGAGCTTCCTAACTGACCTTCCTGCTTCCATTCTCGCCCCACTGTAGTCGGTGAGTGAGAAGCCACCTTTGATTAAGCCATTTTATAGGTGGGTGTTCTGTAACTTGTAGCTTAACCCATTCCCAGCAGGCAAATAATTTGGTACCAGAAACAGGAGGCTAAAAACAGATACTAAAATGTGGAATAGGCTAACTTGAGGTTAAGGTAGCCAGTGTTAAAGACTCTATTTCAAACTGGAAAGTCGGTGACTCTTATAAGCAGCAGTGAAACTGTCGCTTGCTGGACCTTGGATACAGGCCATAAGCCAACCAAAGCTGTAGTTTTGGAGAAATCTCAGGAGCAATATGGAACATTAGTGAATGTTGCCTTTTTTTAGTAGCTTTCAGCAAACTCCTTCAAGAGAGGGGCAACTCTAGATTAGAAATAACTGATTTGAAAGCAGAAATTAGAGAAAGTAAGGACTTGGTAAGAGACGATTTCTTTACATGCAACCTGCTATTTAAATTGGCCAAGAGTCTCATAACTTGGAACTTTGCCTAAAAATACCCCATTTATTTTGGGTACTCAGGCTGAAAGATACAAAGAGGCAGCTTTATCAGGAGATAGGACGGCCATCCTAAGATACCAGAATGGCCTCTAGGTGGCATCTCTTTCCTCAGCTGTTTTGAATTGTCTCAAAACAGTTGCGTATGTAGGGGATTCCAGAGTGGATGAGAATAGGGGTGAAAATAAGATTTCAGTTTACACCTTTTAATATTGCTTTCATTTTGTAAACTATATATTACTTACTTGGAAAAATAAATTGAAAAATATTTAACAAAAAAATGTAAAGACTCTAGATAGGCCAGGCGCAGTGGCTGATGCCTGTAATCCCAGCACTTTGGGAGGCTGAGGCAGGGGGATCACCTGAGGTCAGGAGTTCGACACCAGCCTGACCCATATGGTGAAACCCTGACTCTACTAAAAATACAAAATTAGCTGGGCCATGGTGGTGTATGCCTGTAATTCCAGATACGTGGGAGGCTGAAGTGGAAGATATGCTTGAACTTGGGAGGCAGAGGTTGCAGTGAGCAGAGATCACACCATTACACTCCAGCCTGGGCAACAAGAGCTAAATTCTGTCTCTAAATAAATGAGACTCTAGATAAGTTACTTGTGATTACTATACATTAAACTCATCAGAATTCTTAACAAATGATTGAGGGACTCCTGTGTCCCTAAAATCTTAAGCCTGGTCAACAACAGTCTGTTGCTGTTCGGCCTGTGGTAATCTCTGAACCCTGAAATTCCTTCCAACAGGGAGTAGGATGCAAAAGGTGTGCATTCTCCACAACCAGAGAAAAGAACAACGGTGCAGCTCCCAGATTCTCCAACTAAGAACTTAATACACTGCCACCAAAAAAACACTGCCGTTTCTTTGTTTTCTGAAAGGATCTTGCTCTGTCACTCTTCTTTTTTTTTGAGATGGAGTTTCACTCTTGTTACCCAGGCTGGAGTGCAATGGCACAATCTCAGCTCACCGCAACCTCCGCCTTCTTGGTTCAAGCAGTTCTCCTGCCTCAGCCTCCCAAGTAGCTGGGACTACAGACGCGCACCACCATGCCCAGCTAATTTTTGTATTTTTAGTAGAGACGGGGTTTCACCATGTTGACCAGGATGGTCTCGATCTCTTGACCTCGTGATCTACCCGCCTCGACCTCCCGAAGTGCTGGGATTATAGGCGTGAGCCACCGCGCCCGGCCAACTCTCTCACTCTTGCATTACATGAGGGTAACCTCAATGGGTTGCATGTTCTAGCCTCCCGTGTCAGCTGGGATGGGCTTTGTATTTCTCTCTCCCTTATTCATATTTTTGATAAGGGTGAACTGGTGTTCAAAGGTTGGAATTATGCCATGTGTTGGGGTGTTCTGAATTCAGATATACTGTAAACTGGAATGGTGAAAATGACGGCCATCTGCATTTAATGACCTTGCTTCTTCCATCTCTGACTTTATCAAAGCACACACCGCTCTTAATGAAAAGTCTGACTGTTGATTTCTTCAAATTCGAAATACATATACCTTCCCCTAATAAGTCACATACGTTAGCATTCCTTAATATCCCTTTTGTCTCCCTCTCCTCTCCCATCATATTGTTCTTGTTTGGGGTTTTTGATATTAGTTATTCTAGATAAACATTCTCTTCTTCAGTCTTATTAGCCTTTTTTTTTTTCTTTTTTTGAGACGGAGTCTCACTCTGTCACCTAGGCTGGAGTGCAGTGGCATGATCTCAGCTCACTGCAACCGCTACCTCCTGGGTTCAAGCAATTCTCCTGCCTCAGCCTCCCAAGTAACTGGGATTATAGGTGACCACTACCACGCCTAGCTAATTTTTTGTATTTTTACTAGAGATGGGGTTTTCACCATGTTGGCCAGGTTGGTCTCGAACTCCTGACCTCAGGTGATAGGCTTGCCTTGGCCTCCCAAAATGCTGAGATTACAGGCATGAGCCACCATGCCTAGCCTTAGTCTTAACCTTTTTTTGAAATAAAGAGATAAATTTATTGAAAATTTTGATCACCCTGACATCCCCTATCTCTTGAAGTTTCTCCTAAACTTGCCTATTTACTTAAACACTTCCTTCAAATGCATTTTCGTTGTGAATTTTGTGTGGCAGACTTCTGAGGTTTCCCCTGCCTGAGAATATTTTTGTTACTCTCACATTAAAATGAAAATGTGGCTGTCTACAAAACTTGAGAGTTCTTTTCCTTCAGTGCGTAAAGAAATAATATATGATCATAAGAAAAACTACATGATCATTTAAAAAAGGCATCTGACAAAATTTAATGCTTATTCATGATTTTTAAAAAAAACTTTCAGCAAACTAGGCATAGAGGGATATGTTCTCAACCTAATAGGGCATCTGTTAAAAATCCACAGTTAATATTCTTATAGTGGAAGACTGAATGCCTTTCCCTTAATATCAGGAACAAAGCAAAGATGTCCACCTTCAACACTATCGAAAGTGCTTTAGTATATTCATTATACTAGAGCTTTAAGCCATTGCAGAACAAGATATAAAAGGCATACAGACTGGGAAGAAAAAGCAAAACAGCCTTTATTCACAGATAATATGATCATGCACATAGAAAATCCTTTAAAAAACCTAGGAAAAAGCTACTAGAACTATTTATTTAGCAATGTCACAGGATACAATATACAATTAATGGCATTTCTGTATATGAGCATTGAGCAAGTAGAAATGAAAATGCTTAAAATATTATAATAGCATCCCAAAACATGAAATACTTCAGGGCAAGTTTAATTTAATTATTTTAAGCATAGTTTCTTTAAATAGTCTGATAATTCTGTTCTCTGAAGTTCTTGTACTCTAGTCCTGTAATGGTGTCTACTCTTTTGCCTCCTGTCAAAGCATAACTAAAAAACAATAGTTATCTTCATGGAAATGATATACTGACTTTAAAGAAAATAGTTATTAAACTATATCAGCAAGAAAAGGATTTATAAGACAGCAGTTTCCAACCTTTTTGGCACCAGAGACTGGTTTCATGGAAGACAGTTTTTCCATGGAAGTGGTGGTAGGAGCAGTGGTTTCAAGATGAAACTGTTCTACCTCAGATCATCAGGCATTAGATTCTCATAAGGAGTGCGCAACCTAGATCCCTCACATGCAGTTCATAGTACGGTTTCAGTTCCTATGAGAATCTCATGCTGCTGCACTGATCTGACACTGACAGGAGCCGGGAGCTCAGGCGGTGGTGCTCGCTCACCCATCCACCCACCGCTCACCTCCTGCTGTGCAGCCCACTTCCTAACAGGCCGCTGACCCGTACTAGTCCAGGGGTTGAGGACCCCTGTTTAGAGATATGGGAGATAACAAGAAAAAACTAAAGACATTCTGGGAACAATAGGTTTTTGGATTTTTTTGGTTTTATATTTCAGTGGAGGAAAGCTGATTAGCTGGCATCCAGCAAAGAGTCTAGTCTGTGAAGTGTGCCCTTGAGCAGGCTGGCTAGGGTCATCAGACAACAACTTTAGCTACTTACAGATTCTGATGACCTGGAGAATTTAACCATTATTTGTGCCAGGATGATACTGTAATGTTGCATTAGGTAGGCCTGTATCACTTCCCTCAGAATATCTCAGCTCTCACTCATGTTGGATTATTTCATTGAGCTTTTATTTTTTAAGACAGGGTTTTACCATGTTAACCAGGCTTGTCTCAAACTGCTGATCTCAGGTGATCCGCCTGCCTTGGCCTCCCAAAGTGCTGGGATTATGGGCGTGAGCCACCACATCCAGCCTCATTGAGCATTTTTGTAATTTTTGATGATGGCTTCATTTTTAGTGGAGCTTTGTGTATGGGAGTCCTATGTGGCCTGGATGGAGGCTATGTTTCCTCAAAGAGATTTTATATTTGCTTCTATCTGCCTGGTATACACTTTTAGTTATGTTTTTAACTTGTTGGTCCCTGGTTTACACAGGTAGTATTAGACTAAACTCCAGACCTGAGTAAGGACAGATGTAATTATAAATTCTCAGGGGAAATTTGTTTTTCCCAGTCAAAGGGTTAGGCCAAGACATACAGCTTTACTGGGTTTCTCTGCGCATCTCTGCGAATTTTGTTTCTGGTTTATATGTACTTCAATCCCTGAAGGCGTGAGAGGTAGAATCCAGAGTTTTTTCTGTTCTCTCACTCAGCAACAAAAAACACAGAAGACTTCTGTACCAAAATGTGTGTGTTGGGGGGTTCTTCCCACACTCCAGCCAGCCATCAGTTCTGCAGCAGACATCAGCTGGGGGACCTCCAATTCAATTCAATTCTAATGCCATCTACCTCGAGATAGTCTCAAAAACCGCAGTTTGAGGGTTCAGTTTCACAAAACCACCATCTCCTTCCTGCAATTCCAGGGCCCCTAAAACGTCTGACTGAACAGCTTCCAGATGGGGTTCCAAAGATCCCCTTTTATTACAGTTTATTACAAAGGATATTTTAAAGTATACAGATAAACAGCCAGATGAAGAGATACATAGAGTGAGGTCTGGAAGGGTCCTGAGCACAGGTGTTTCTGTCCCCATGGAGTTGGAGTACACCACCCTCCTGGACTGTGGATGTCTTCTCATTCATCTTCCTGTCAGCCTCCAATGTGTTCAGCTCTCTGGAAGCTCTCCAAACCCTGTTCTTTCGGGGTTTTATAGAGGCTTTATTACATAGGTACGATTGACTAAACCATTAATCATTGGTGATCAATTTAACCTTCAGCCTCTCTCTCCTCCCTGGAGGCTGGAGGTGGGGCTGAGAGTCCCAACCTTCTAATCATACCTTGCTTTTTCCAGTGAAGAGCTGCCATTCTTAAGTTACCTGGGGGCTGCCAGCCATCAGTCAATCATTAGCTTACAAGAAGACCACTGGAGTCTCTAAGGATTGTAGAAGTTGTATGCTAGAAAACAGGGTCAAAGACCAAATATATATTTCACAATATCACAGAAGGTAAAGGCCTTGGAGAGTCCTAGCCATATGTGAAAGTATCAGATCTGTCTCTTTACTCTTTTTAACCCAAAATTTCTTCTCCTGTTGCTGTCTCCATTAAAACTCAGAGTTGGCCAAGTGTGGTGGCTCATTCCTGTAATCCTAACACCTTGGGAGGCCAAGGCAGGAGAATCGCTTGAGCCCAGGAGTTTGAGACCAGCCTGAGCAACACAGGACGATCCTGTCTCTATGGAAAGGTGTTTTTAAAATAGCAGGCATGGTGATACGGCCTGTAGTCCCAGCTACTCAGGAGGCAGAGGTGGGAGGATCACCTGGGCCCAGGAAGTCAAGGCTGCAGTGAGCTATGATCCTGCCACTGCACTCCAGCCTGGGTGACAGAAGGAGATCAGTGAGATTCTGTCTCTTAAAAAACATTTTAAAAAGGGGACAACAAAAAAAAAATTTCCAGCCGGGCGCGGTGGCTCAAGCCTGTAATCCCAGCACTTTGGGAGGCCGAGGCGGGTGGATCATGAGGTCAAGAGATCGAGACCATCCTGGTCAACGTGGTGAAACCCCGTCTCTACTAAAAATACAAAACATTAGCTGGGTATGGTGGCACGTGCCTGTAATCCCAGCTACTCAGGAGGCTGAGGCAGGAGAATTGCCTGAACCCAGGAGGCGGAGGTTGCAGTGAGACGAGATTGTGCCATTGCACCCCAGCCTGGGTAACAAGGGCGAAACTCCCGTCTCAAAAAAAAAAAAAAAATTCAAAGTCCCTGTAAACCAGTAAAACTGTAAACCCCCCCAGGGAAGCCTTAGTATCAGCTCATCAACATTATTCCCTTCTCTCCACCAAGTTAGCTCCTTCTTAATTTTTTGAATATTGAGAATTTTCCTTACTTTCTTGTGAACTTAGCTCTCCAATTAATTGAAAGTTTGGGTTGTACATTTATGGAACTTTTTTTTTTTGAAGGAAAATTTTGTTTTATTTTTATTTACAGAAAACTGTAAATTTAACCCAGTTTCGTGGCAAGCTCTTTAGCTTTTGCCTTCTCTAGCTTTGCGATGCGAGCCACAGACTTGGGACCCAGGACATTGCCTCCCCAGTGACGGCGGATCTCATAGTATCTGTCATTGTAATTGGTGCAGATGGCTTCCACCAGCTTAGCCAAAGCACCTTTGTCTTCCGCGTTAACCTGTGTGAAGGCTACAGTAGTGCAGGTCTTCCTGTGGACTAGACGTCCCAGTCTTGCCTTCCCCTTGATAATGCAGTAAGGGACTCCCATTTTTCGACACAGGGCAGGCAAGGAGACAACCAGCTCAATGGGATCCACGTCGTGTGCAATCGCCACCATCTGAGCTTTCTTGTTCTCCACCAAGGTGGTGATGGTGTTGACTCCTGCTTGAAGGACAGGTGGTCTCTTAGTGGGGACGTCCCCTTTGCCAGCTGCTTTCTTCTCGGCCCAGGCCAACAGCCTCTGCTTCTTCTCTTGCTTTGTCTCTGGTCTATACTTGTGGGCCAGCTTAAGCAGCTGAGTAGCTGTCTGGCGGTCCGGGGCCTGGGTGAACTGGTTAATTGCAGGAGGCACTTTCAGCCGCTTGTAGAGGATGGCTCTCTGCCGCTGCAACCTGATATAGCAGGGCCATTTGACAAAGCGGGTGAGGTCTCTTTTGGGCTGGATGTCCTGTTCAATACCAAAATTTTTAGGCCGTTTTTCAAACAGGGGATTCACCACTTTCTTAGCCTCCTGCTTCTTCACGACAGTAGGGGCCGGAGCCACCTTCTTCCCCTTGGCCTTCTTTCCTTTCGGCATCTGAGCAGCAGAAAGAAAGAGCACATTTATGGAATTTAATCATATTTGTGAAGAATTTATATTTTGTATATGAGTATAATATGTTCATATTCTAAAGAAAGAAATTATAAAATATACTGAATATGAATGTTTAGAATATGAGAAGAAGATTTGAAGAAAATCTTGATTAGAAATATTTCATGTGAGCATGTTTCACTTAATCTGGAAGATAGAAGGAAAAAAAAAGAAATATTCCATGTGATATTCATATGAGTACCTTACTATTTATTGGATATCTTTTTTTATTTTTCCTGGAGATAGGGTCTTGCACTCTCACCCTGTCTAGGGTTCAGTGGTGCAATCTCAGTGCATTGCAGCCTCAACCTCCTGGAATCAAGCAATCCTCCTGCCTCAGGCCCTGGAATAGCTGGGACTGCAGGCACGCTGCCACCATGTCTGGCTTATTTTTTGTATTTTTTGTAGAAAAAGGGTTTCACCATGTTGCCCATGCCAGTCACAAGCTCTGGACACAAGCAATTTGCCTGTCTTGGCCTCCCAAAGTCCTAGGATTACAAGCGTGAGCCACTGTGCCCAACCTTCATTGGATATTTTCAAGAGTATTCTTAGTTTTTGGTAAATCATACATTTGGCAAATGGGGTAGCTTGGATATTGAACTAACTAATCCTTCAACAGATTGGCTTATTTATTTCAGTGATGGAGGAGTGTCTCACTATGTTGCCCAGTCTGGATTTGAACTTCTGAGGCAATCCTCCTGCCTCAGCCTCCTGAGTAGCTGGGACTACAGGCATGTGCCACCACACCCACTTGTTTTTTTAACAATATGTTGAGCCAGGCACAGTGGCTCATGCCGGTAATCCCAGCACTTTGGGAGGCTAAGGCAGGCGGATCACTTGAGGTCAGGAGTTTGACACCAGCCTGGCCAACATGGTGAAACCCCATCTCTACTAAAAATACAGGAAGTAGCCAGGCATGGTGGCGGGTGACTTTAATCTCAGCAACTTGGGAGGCTGAGGCAGAAGAATCTCTTGAACCTGGGAGGTGGAGGTTGCAGTAAGCTGAGATCGCACCACAGCACTCCAGCCTGGGCAACAAAGCAAGACTCTATCTCAAAATATAAATAAATAAATAAATAAAAATTGACACATCCCTGCTCAGAATAAATTAACCTAACAGCTTACTCATTTGATGTGAAAAGGCAATTTACAAACAAGTTCCTAAGTTGACATCTCCCCTGCCACCTCCCCCCAAGAAAACCACATTCATTTTTTAATTTTTCTCTAACCAACATTAATAACTGATTCTGGCTAGGGAAAGACCATCTTTTTCTTTTCTTTTCTTTTTTTTAGGGAAAAGCGATCTGAAACCCCATTGAAAGGGATTAAAAGTCAATGGAAGATATAAAGTGGCTTTTGTGGATGAAACCCTAGGTGTTCAGCATACCAGTTCCACAAGATTCCTTTCTTAAAACCATTCTGACTTGAGTTCTTAGATACACTATAACACTGCCACCCAGGTGTCAGCTAAGATCTTATTTTTTTGGAGGTCTTTGTATAACAGGACCAGAATTCGTTCCACAACCTGGAAAGGGGTTTGTCCTGTAATATCTGCTCACTCTTCGAGACTTACTCACTTGAGGTGCCCTTAGCTTCTTATTTCTGTGTCTGTTTTGCTTCCCACCCGCCCCCTCATCAGTGAGGATGCAGAAATCAGCATTTCTTAGCATTCCCACCACAGAAGAATCTCCTCCTACACAGAGCAGTTGTGAGTCATGAAGACTTGACTGAAGCCTTACCATCTCCTCAGAGCGGGGCAGTGCTGGATAGTCAGGGAGACATCTTTAGTTAAGTTTGGTTTAGTTCTGCAACACTTACTGAGTATATGCTATTGCCTAGGTACTGTGCTAAACAATGGAGATCAGAGTAAATGATACTCCCTATCCTCAAGATACAGTCTAGATGGGGAGAGAATGTAAAATAATGTGTTAAATGCTTGTTAGAGCCCAGGTTGCCATGGGAGGGCACAATGGGGCACTTCAGCCTATGGTGAGAGTAGGGAGAGTCAAGGAAGACTTCCCTGTGATAAAATAGAGGAGTGAATAGATGAGCCTTCTCCTGGATCATGGCTGAATGTCAATTGGTTTGGGTTGAGAAAATCTCAAGCCCTGATTTTTTGACTAAGGTGATTTCAGATTGCTAGAGCCCCCCAAGTGCCTAGAAAAAGCAACTGGACATCCTTTCAGAAGAATGTAAAATTATCCTAAGCCTCAAATGATTTCTACAGTAATTTTTCAAATGCAGTGTCCTACACAATTAAAGATAACTAGACATGAGGAAACAAGACAGCATGAACACAAACTAGAAGAAAGAACAGTGGACCTACACAGCTTGAGACACTGGAATTCTCAGACAGAGGTTGTTAAACAAACTCTGCTTACTATCTTCAAAAAACTAAAAGCCAAATTTAAAAATTTTGACACGGAGCTAAAAACTGCAAAAAGTAACATAACAGATTAGGAAAAAGAATCAAATAGAAATTTGTGAATAGAAAAATATAAGGGATAGATTTAACTACAGTTTAGACATACGAAAAGAGAGAATCAGTGAATTGGAAATTATGCCAAAGGAAACTATTGTATCTAGAAAGAAGTCAGACAAAAAGATAGGAAATACAAAAGCAAGGATAAGAGTCACAGAGAATTCAGTGAGGTCTTATTTGTATGTAGTTGGAGTAACAGGAGGAGAGGAGAGAATGAGCAGAGATAGTATTTGAAGAGATAATATAATTTTCCAGAACTGATGAAAGATTACAAGATCAGAATCAAAAATAGTGACAAATCCCAAGCAAAGTTAAGGAAAAGAATCTAAGCTAAGCACATTAAAATAAGTCTGTAGAAAATCAAAGAAAAAGAATATTAAAGATACAAGAGGAAAAAAAGATTATTTTTAAAGAAGCAACAGATAGCTGACTTCTCACAACAGTGGAAACCAGAAAACAGTATATCTTCAAAGTGCAAAAGAAAACTGCTCACCTAAAATACTACATCCAGATAAAATATCCTTCAAGAGTAAACATGAGAAGACATTTGTTTTTTTTCTTGAGACGGAGTTTCGCTCGTTACCCAGGCTGGAGTACAATGGCGCAATCTTGGCTCACTGCAACCTCCGCCTCCTGGGTTCAAGCAATTCTGGGACTACAGGTGCACACAACCCGAATAGCTGGGACTGCAGGTGCGCACCACCATGCCCAGCTAATTTTTGTATTTTTAGTAGAGACCGGGTTTCACCTTGTTGACCAGGATGATCTCAATCTCTTGACCTCATGATCCACCCGCCTCGGCCTCCCAAAGTGCTGGGATTATAGGCGTGAGCCACCGCGCCCGGCCTCTTTTTTTTTTTTTTTTTTATTTTGAGACAGGGTCTCACTTTGTCACTCAGGCTGGAGTGTAGTGGTGCAATCATGGCTCACTGCAGCCTTGAGTCCCTGGGCTCAAGTGATCCTCCCACTTCAGCCTCCTGAGTAACTGACCACAGGCGTACCCACACCACCACGCCCAGCTAATTTTTGCATATTGTTTTAGAGATGGGTTTTTGCCATGTTGCTCAGGCTGGTCTCTAACTCCTGGGCTCAAGTGATCCACCCATCTTAACTTCCCAAAGTGCCAGGATTACAGGTGTGAGTCACTGCACACAGCCTTGTGTCACTGTACCCAGCCTTGTATTAGTTTTCTATTTCTGCATAACAAATTACTACCAGTTTTGCATCTTAAAATAACACCCATTTATTATCTCACAGTTCTTTAGATCAGAAATTTAGGCAGGTTGTGAAAAAACATTACCAAAAAAGAAAAAAGAAGTACAGGCAGGGATCAATTATGTCCTGCACTCAGAGTATCACAAGGCTGAAATCAGGGTGTTAACTGAAACTAGAGTCTCATGAGGCTCAAAGCCATCTTTCAAGCTCACGTGGTGGAAAGTGGTGTTAAAAAAAAAAAAAAGCTTGGGCCATGTGTGGTGGCTCACACCTATATCCCAGTACTGTGGGAGGCTGAGACAAGTGGACTGATGGAACTCAGGAGTTTGAGACCAGCCTGGCCAACATGGCAAAACCCTGTCTCTATAAAAAATATTAAAATTAGCCAGTTGTGGTGACACATACCTGTGGTCCCAGCTATTTGGGAGGTTGAGGTTGGAGGATGGCTTGAGCCCAGGAGGTTGAGGCTGCAGTGAGCTGTAATTGCAACATTGCACTCCAGCCTGGGCAACTTTGCCAGACTGTTTCAAAAAAAAAAAGTCCAATATTTGAAATCATATAAAGTTTATTGACTGGTATAATGCAGTTACACTGGCAGGGTCCGTGGCGGGGAGGGGGATAGATTTTAAAAGCCACATTTATTTTGAAATTAAAAAAAAAAAAAAAACACTTCTAGTCATGCCTGCAATCCCAGCACTTTGGGAGGTCAAAGTGGGTGGATTACCTGAGGTTAGGAGTTCAAGACCAGTCTGGCCAACATGGCAAAACCCTGTCTCTACTAAAAATACAAAAATTAGCCGGGTGTGGTGGTAGGTACCTGTAATCTCAGCTGGTCAGGAGGCTGAGGTTGCAGAATTGCTTGCATCTGGGAGGTGGAGGTTGCAGTGAGCTGAGATCACATCACTGCACCCCAGGCTGGGCGACAGAGTGAGACTCTGTCTCAAAAAATAAATAAAAAAAAGCACTTCTAGGCCAGGTGCAGTGGCTCATGCATGTAATCCCAGCACTCTGGGAAGCTAAAGTAGGAAGACTGCATGATGCCCAGAGTTCTGAAACCAGGCTGGGCAACATAGCCAGACCCTTCTCTGTACAAAATATTTAAAAACTACCTGGGTGTGGTAGTACACACCTTTAGTTCTAGCTATTTGAGAGGCTGAGACAGGAAGATTGATTGAGCCTAGCAGTTTGGGGCTAAGTGAGCTGTGATAGCGCAACTGCACTACAACCTGGGTGACAGAGCAAGAGCCTA